ATGGGGAGCAATATTATAGGCAGAAACATGGGTGTGCTATGGGGTCTCCAGTTTCTCCTATTGTTGCCAACCTGTACATGGAGGAGGTAGAAAAGAGAGCCTTGACGTCCTTTTCAGGGACACCACCAAGTCATTGACTCAGGTATGTTGACGACACCTGGGTTAAAATTAAATCTCAGGAAGTCCAACATTTTACTGACCACATCAACTCTGTGGATAAATACATCAAGTTCACACGAGAAGATGTAAAAAATGGCAAGTTGGCTTTCTTGGACTGTGAGGTCTCAGTCTCTGATAGAGGACATTTGCAAACCGAGGTGTACCGCAAACCCACCCACACAGACCAGTATTTGCAGTTTGACTCCCATCACCCTTTGGAGCACAAGTTAGGAGTCATCAGGACTCTGTATCACAGAGCAGACAGCATCCCCACTAGCTCGGGAGCCAGGCAGAAGGAGAAATTCCACACAAAACTGGCTCTAGAGCAATGTGGATATCCTAACTGGGCCTTCCTGAAAGCAGAGAAGAAACCCAAACAGGACTCCAGTCAGCCATCAGGTGAAAAGGAGGAACCCAGACCCAGACCAGTGGTCATTCCGTATGTTGAGTGGGTATCAGAGAAACTGAGACGTTTATTTTCTAAACATAACGTCCCAGTGGCTTTTAAACCCCAAAATACATTACGGCAAAGACTGGTTCATCCCAAAGATCCAGTCCCCCGGCACAAACAGAGTAATGTTGTGTATGCTGTTCAGTGTCAGGAGGGCTGTGATCAGTCTTACATCGGGGAAACTAAACAGCCACTGGCCAAAAGGATGGCCCAGCACAGAAGATCAACATCATCAGGCCAGGATTCTGCGGTCTACACTCATCTCCAGGCCAGCGGTCACTCTTTCAAGGATGAAGATGTTCACATCCTGGACAGAGAGGAACGATGGTTTGAGAGAAGAGTAAAGGAGACCATCTTTGTGAAAAGAAATTGTCCATCGTTAAACAGGGGTCGAGGCCTCCGGGTTCAACTGTCCCCTTCCTACAATGCTGTGATTGCTAGTATCACTCAGCCCTCTGTGAGTAGTAAACAGCCATCAGTGTGCTAATGATCCATTGTTAGGCTGATGGTCCTTCTTGAGCATGTGATCAGTTGGTTTTGGTTGTCAGCAGCAAAACTGGTTGATCCACCCTGATAAGGTGCTATTTAAGAGACTGAGCTGAAAACAGCACCTCAGACTGAGGAAGTCTTTTGGATGAGAGACGAAACGTTTCTAGATTTTTTTGCTTTGTTTTGTTTTTTTGAATGTCCAGAGGACCAGATTGAACTTTTTTGGATTTTTCTACCTGGATTATTGAGCATGCATCAGGATATTTTGAATCACTTTGGCCAGGATTGCCTCAAACTAGTAAGAGCGTTTGAGATAACAGCAAGGAAGAGGGCAGACTACAGGAACCACTTGCGATTCAACCTCAGATGTCGACAAAGTGGCATCATTCCCAAGAGCCTGGAACTAAAATCATCGGTCAGCAGGCACCGGGCAAGCAAGATCCTTCAGAAGGCACAAACCCAGCTGCTGAATGAACGGGTGAGAAAGACCAATTTTACTATTGAGGCCTTGAAGGCCAAAGAAGAGCACATTAAACAGAAACTAACTATGTGTCTAGATCAGACCACACTTCAGCAAGTGTTGGACTGTACAGATCAGGCACGCTTAGCACAGCATGTCAAGTCCAAGACTCGGCAACAAAATAAGTTTAACTTACTAATAACTCATCCACACCATCACTATTCCAATAACAACACATTCAGTGTAGGACAACACGCCAGTAGTCAATTACATGCCAGGGAGACAGAAAAGTGGGTGAAGAATTTATCTGACAGACAGCTCACCCAGCCGGAGACAGAGATTCTTGCCAGGGGACTGAACTTTGCAGTTGCACCAAGTACAATTCCTCTGGTGGAGATGATCACAGCCACAGAATCAGCCATCCGCAACAACAAAATGAAAGAGGGTGAAGCAGAACAGCTCAGAATCAAAGTTTCATCCTGCCTCAGCAATGCCAAACCACCACCTTCCAACATCAGTAGAGAGGAGAGGGATGCACTCACCACTCTTAGTAAGGACAAAAACATCATCATTCTCCCAGCAGACAAAGGAAGGTGCAGAGTGATTTTGAACCAGAAAGACTATCATGAGAAAGTTATGACACTCCTTAGTGACTTAACCACTTATGAACCTCTGAAAAGAGATCCAGGAAGTGGTTACAAGAAGAAATTAATAGATTGCCTGAAAAATTTGGAGCAGGACAAGGCTATTGACCGTTTTCTGTACCACAGACTGTACCCAGGGGAGGCCACACCTAGTCTGTATGGTTTACCTAAAATCCACAAACAAGGTGTACCTTTAAGACCTATTGTTAGCATGATTAACTCTGTCACTTACAATGTTTCCAAATATCTGGCGTCTGTACTCATCCCTTTAGTTGGCAGCTCAGAACACCACATACATAACACCATGGACTTTGTGGATAAGGTGAGGGATGTCATCATGGAGACT